CGATATTTGAGGCGGAGGAGCGACTGCTGGCGCATGCGGATGCCACAGGCGCAGCAGAGGTGGCGGCAGCAGCAGCAGCAGCAGCAGTGGCGGCGGCACAAGCAGCTGAGGCGGCGCCTCCTGTACCAGCGAACGACAGTGGTGGAGTACCCAGCCTGACTGATCCCAACCAGCTGATTGGGAATATCGGTGCAGGCGGCAATGCTGTGCCAAATCCCGAACTTAACAACACACAATCCGACAGCTACATCGTCACCGGAGACGAGAAGGAGCTGGAGGAGCGCGTGAGATCGCTGATTAATTGCTACGATCGCGACTACCATCAGCAGACGCTGCAACGCGGTGACTTTTGGGTGCTGCAGAACTACGTGCGAGCGGAGCACGGCGAGGTCAAGTGCCACGAATCCATCACGTACACCACCCATGCGGATTACACGTTCCTCGACAATCTCATTCCGCTGCTGGAGCGTTGGAGTGCACCCGTCAGCATAGCCATGCATGCGCCGGGCACAGATTTCCAGCCCACCGTGGACTCCATTCGATATCTGAGGGAGTGTCTGCCGGGCAGTCATCTGGTGCGTGCCTACACCACTTTTCACATATACTTCGGCACCAAGCACATACCCCGTGCGGTGCCCAAGCCCCAAGATGTTTTCAAGACGGGCTACAACTGCACGTTGCCGCCACCGTACTTTAACATCACGTCGGGCCATCTGTATAAGGCACAGAAGAAACTGTTGTATCCAGTGAACGTGGGTAGGAATATAGCACGCGATTCTGCACTGACTCACTTTATTCTGGCCTCGGACATAGAGCTGTATCCGAATCCGGGTTTGGTCAAGAAGTTTCTTGAAATGATTGCTCGCAATGAGCAGTATTTAAGGAGGAAGGCGCCAAGGTGGGGTTTAACACAATCTTGAAATCTTGAGATCTTGAAAGACTCATATTCCTTTATTTTTAGAGTATTTCCCCTTGCCATATTCGAGGTGGAGGAGAGTTCCCCTGTGCCTCATGACAAAACCGAGCTGCAGGAGTTTTTGCGCACAGGCAAGGCGATACCCTTCCATAAACGCGTCTGTGCCAGCTGTCATGGTGTGCCGAAGTCCAAGGAATGGATGGCGGCCAATGAAACGGATGAATTGAGTGTGTTTCACATAGGTAGGACAAAAAGAGACGCTCCTAAAGCCGATAAATAACTCACAGAATCTCTCCATCCATAGGCAAACGCACTGGCTACTATATCCATTGGGAGCCCATTTATATAGGCACCCATGCAGATCCCCACTACGATGAGCGGCTCAGTTGGGAGGGCAAAAGTGACAAAATGCCACAGGTATAGTACCCATGAGTATATCTTCCAAACCCCACTCTATAAATAGCTTTCTTTCAGGGCTATGCGCTGTGCGTTTTGGATTATGAATTCCATATATTGGATAATGCATTTTTGGTGCACAAACCGGGCATTAAAGTGCTGAAAAAGGATAATCGACGTGCCATGTTGTCGGGCAAGACGAATCAACTGATACGCAAGATAATTTATCCCGAACTTAAGATCATGTATGGCATGCGCAAGGGTTGTGGCATATAGTAACTAATTCTAAAGCCGGATTTAAGCGGATTGAGAGCCAAGGCAAAGGCGAAAAGACTACAGCAACAACCAGCAACACTATTACTATTTGCAATGCCATAGATGCAGCAATGTAAAGATAGATTTTATCTATCCAAACTATGGCATTAGATGCGCCCTACAAGTGCGCGTCTTTAAAAAATATAAGCTATAGACTTAGCCCTAGGACTTAATAGAGACAAAAAGATGGAGCATTAGCGTAGATAGGCTTTAGTATATCAGATCTGTTTTTCCAGGGTATGGGATAAGCCTTCAGTGATCGAGTGATCGTAAGAGCAAGAGCCCGGCTTAAGTACGTTAAACGTAATTTGATTTGTGTGGTCTTTTTTTAAATTCTGCTCCGTAAAATCGGTGGAACCAGAAGGGGTGGTATGGTTCCTACTTGCATACTTCCTTCATCTAAGCTTCCTGTAAATATTATTCATTACCATAGACAGACACTCGAGGATTTGGTTGGATATCTCTAATACGAGTACGACTACTCATAGGCAGTCATTATTCAATTACTATTAAGTTAAGCGTTTACTCTAGCCTCTTTACAACTAAGTTTATATTTTAGTTTAGCCGAATTCAAACCCATAAACATTCACAAGAGTTGAGTTGAGTTTTGTTTGTTCTTTTTTAATGTCTCTTTTCGAAATGCTCAACTTTTTGTATGCCAGCAACGAGAGAGATGAGATCTAAATATTTTGTTATGGTTTGTACTGTTCTAAAGCTCTGTCTTGGGCCATAATTTGTAGGTACTACATTTCTGTTTTAGGCCATAATTTATTATGCATATGGGCAATTGTAGACTTAACTGCAAAAGACCAAAACGTAGCTACTCAACAACATAGCAGAGAAATGTTGAAAATTAAAACAAAGCTACGTATTACGCATAGACTTTTGAGAGTTGCTACGAAGAAAACAAAATTAGAGGGCTACCAGATAAAAAAACACAAGATAAAAAATAAAGAGAGCAAAGGCAACTGCCTTGCAGTTAATGCAAAATAGAAAGAAAAAAAACAGATTTCAATAAGCATAAAGGGAAAAAATATAAAAAAACCGTGATATTTGTACTAGTAAAAAGAGAGACGAAAGAGTCGCCGGAGAAGGGATGGAGGGAGAAACGTTAAATGTGTAAGAGATAAATGGTTAAAACAGAGAAGAAAACATTAAATAAAAACCCAAACTTAAAATTAGTTTTGTATATGTTTTTTATTAGTGTTGAACATTAAGTCAAACTTGTGCACATATAAATGTTAAAAACATCAAGACAAAAAAATCGAAACTAACAAATCGAACGAATGCTGAAGGTTTTTGTTTGTTGAATAGGCCTTATCAAATTAATAAATAATACAAAAATTAAAAAGAAAAACTGCAGAGAAATACGTGTAAAATTAAATTTAAGCTGCTGTTAATGGGTAACAAAAATACATTTTTTGAGCGCGACTTGGGAACAACATACATCGGTGTATCTTTGAATCTATTGGAATTTTAGCCCATACGTTTTTAAGTTTAATTAATCCCTTCGTTTTATGCGCTCAACAAAATTTAGCAAAGACTCAAAAGAAATATCACTAAAAACATAAAGAAAAAAACCCAAAAATGCCCATTGTTGATAAAGTAGACAGAAGAAATAATACAAAAACCAATTAAAATATAGAATATACAATTTAAAAATGAAAGAATATATTTGTATTGAAGTAAAAAGTATTACAGTGCCTTAGACAAAATGAAAATATTAAATTAAAAATTTATATAAAGACATTACAAAATAATGATCACAAATAGCAGACATTTGCCTAATTTCCACATTATTTTTGTACATAAAAACAAAAACTTTGTACACAAAAACATTTAATTTTGTATATAGAAAAAATGCATCTATAGTTTTTTTAGGGCGCCTTTAGTCAGGGGTCCAAAATAGGCATATTTAAAGTACGTATTTCTTTCCTATTTAATTAGTCTTCTTAATTCGATATCTAGCCTGCCAACTATTATACGTTTAATTCTTTATAGATTGCACTCGGCATGTTTTTCGCCCCCCTAAGTTATCGCTTATGGAAAATAGAACACACACACATAAATATAGTATATATATTTTTTGTAAGAGTTAAGTGCAAAATAAAATAAATCTGCTGAGCATGAACTAGAGCTGAAAATATTTAAAGAAAAAGGCTAACAAACACACAGACACAAATCAAAGTAAAACTGAATAAAGAAATGAGAGATGGTAGGGTATACAATGTAAAGAATGAGTGTAAAAAATAAAGACAAAAATCAGTTTGAAAACAATATATACGTATTATCTGAAATTTTTTATGATATTTTTGGGTTGGAACCAGCATCCCGGTAATTTATGGATATTTATGGTTTGCCTGGAAGTCTGATGTTTGCTGAGAGATCATCGATGGAGTTGTTTTATCCAAAAGAATATTCAATCAAATGGAAGTTGGAAACCCATTGGAGACATCGTCAATACATTACCAAAGCATTTATTGAAGCAAAACTATTTCCTGTCAGTTTTATTTGGTGTTAAATAATTTGTAGCTTGATTTCTGCTAAAGAATTTTTTAACTATTTTTAAATATTAAAATATACATATGTTCTTGCAATTAATAAATGCCCTCAAACACCTCTTTGAATTTTTACCTCTTTACACTATTTTTGCTGTCGTCATTATATCTGTTTCAACCTGTTTACATATCAATAATCTCGTTCCTCTAACTACAAACTTCATCGTAAGCGTTTGAATATTCATCTTCAATGCTTAAATCTGTCTCTAAAACTTGTTTGGATTCTTTAATCAAATCCCAAACTTGCAGCCTAAAGCCTAAAACCCGCGATCATTATCAAACTCAAATTTGTGGAGGTTGGTACGGTGCCTGCCTGGCCTGGCCTCTTCTCTTGGGCGCAGCCCGACCTTGACTTTAAGTTTTTCGATTTTCAGGTTTCATTTGTTGGCCGATTGAAAACAAAAGTGCGAAATATGCAAATCCGCAGAAAGAGCAGACATTAACATAAATTAAATAAATAAACGTGGCTGATATTTGATTAATACTTGAGACAGTTGCTAGCGCAGAACCTGCTGGAAGGAGGATGGAGCTGGCACTGACTCATCTCTCAAGCTTTTATTTTCGCCTGAAATTTATGCCATATGGATGCTTTGCTTTGCTTTTGTGTTTACTTGTTATTTATGAACATGTTTGGGTTTTTATTGCAACCTGAGGCTGTGCCAGCGATAGCAACGGCGACAGCGACTGAGGCTGAAAGCTTTCGCAATCTTTGTTGCTGCTGCCTGCGGAGACGGGGACTGAGGCTTTACCGGCAAACGACTTCAAGCTTTGCTTCGGGTTTGGACTTTTTTGTTGCTACCAGTTAAGATCTGCGTTGCGTTTCTAGCGCAAAACAGTCGAAATTGTCAGCTCGTTGAAAGAGCATCGCAAATCGCGTTCGCTCTCTACATTTGTACACATTCCCAGTGCTCCCTCACACACAGGGACAAGGATATATCCTACACACACACCTTCGTTTAAAATGGCTAAAATAGTTATCAGTGTTTTGTTGTGCCTGGCCATGTTTGGCTCCATGGGTTAGTATTAATTTAAGGATCAAATCTATACCAAAACGAATGACTCTTTTGCATATACGCAAATCGGTTCTGGTTTATACTATACAAATTTTACGTACGAGTAGTATTTCCAAAGAGAAGACAAAATATACCTTGAATGCCAAAAGGTGACAAAAACAATTTTTAAGACCGACAAAATTATCTCTCGTTTTTATTTGTTTTTGAAATTACCTAACACATTGCCTCATCTTCATTTAAAATTTAATTAAAAAAGTGTTACTTTTAGCAAGAAATCAGTTATAGAGTTCGGGAATCGGAACACATTTTAATGAAAGTGACTTTAAAATAATAAAACTTAAAGTTTTTATGCTATATAATAATCTGAAAGGATTTTTCCGAATGTTAAATGAAGTTTTTAGTGCAATTAAATATAGAAAAATTAAGAAATACAATAATTTTTAATACATTTGAATGGAAAGGCTAGATTTTTCCTTAATTTTAGGCAGTATATTCTGTGAAGTAATTATTCAAAATTGTAAGGATCTGAGGACTAGATTTCGTGAATTGTGTATGTTTAGTGGAGCTATGGTGATAAACGATATAATTATATTATTACACGTTTAAAGCCAATTCCAATAATTCCAATATATTAAACTAATTGAATTAAAGTTGTGTCTAGAACAATTCCGAAAGAAAAATAATTCATGGTGATTTTAATGGTTTACATTTATTCAAAGTCTTTTAGTTTCCTCGGTTACACATTTTCCCTAAAATTCCAACTTAAAATCTGCCTCGTTTAATTTCCCACTAGTTCTCCTTCAAAATTCATTCACATGTCAAACCTTTTAATCAGCACCCCCTCCATAATTACACACTGCTTTAAGGCGCCACAGCAATTTTAATTTAGCAGTGGCATTCCCGCAACAGCAACGAACATATCTGTGTGTAGCCAGTGAGACCTCACGCTTCCCACAGTTATTCGTATTTTGCATAACAGCAGCGATAATTCAGTTGATTGAGCACTACTCGTCATTAGGCAACTGACGGCAGATGCCAGTCGAGTGACATGCCCCTTTCAAGACTGCGTTGCAACCAACGGGAGCAGAAACCAAAAGAGATAAAGATTTCCCAACAATGCCAGGAAATCGCACGAGTTGTCAAAAAAAACTAAATAATCATAAAGAAACTCTCAAAAAAGTCCAAAAAAGAGTGGCCAAATAACTGCAAGGTAATTAATGCGGAAAGCAAAGCGAACGAAACGAAAGACTGAGGCGACAAACTGATGATTTTTCTTTTTCTGTGGGAATCTTCATTGCATTGAAACTCTTCGATATTTCAAGGTCAATTGATGAACATTTTTTATTCGTACAAATTCGAATCACACGCGGTGTCTGCCGATCAATATTGCATAACCTTTGGCTAAAGCTAAAACGGGTTTTAGCCATTCGTTCGTATTTGTCGTGTGTAGTCAGAGAGCTACATCTCCTCGATGCGTGCCCCATAGCCGGTTAATGTGACCTTTAAAGCGTCTCTTTGCTACGTCTTCTGGCAGCTTCTTTTTAATTTTTTTTCGAGCGGACGAAGTCACAGAGAGAAATCTTATTGAATTAATTCCAACATTGGAGCACGTTGTTTAATTTGTGGCTTAAATGAAGGGGGAAGCACGGATTGGTGGTCAGTGTGAGGTGTTTGAAAGGAGAAGTGCAGATGGCGGAAAACGGCTTTAAGTGCAGGGGGAATTATCTACAGATGGTGATGTTTACTTTATGTGTGGGAAAATCTGCAGACTGTTAACATATAGAATGTAACATCGTTTGATATACAAACCTTGGCTTTTTCGGCACGCGAGCACTAGAAGTGCTCAATCATTTCCTTCTGTTAATTATAATTTAAAATATTTATTAATACATTTAAATATTTTATAATTTATATAAAATGTAGCTATTTATTTCATAATTTATACGGAAAGCCAGTAATTATTTCCTAATTTATACGAAAATGCAAAGTAAAAAGATTTAGTAATTATTTATATGAATTTTAGGAGATTATAATTATACAGTATCTATTAACTAATTAAAATCAGTAAGTTTAAAATCCAGTATTAATTTACACGGAATTTAGGAGTTCGACCATCAGGAATTATACTTACTATGCAGAATTTTGGAGTTTAAAATCCAGTAAATATTTTTTAATTTGCACTGGAATCTGTCATTAAAAAAGGCCCAAAGGAAGAAAAAGTAGATTCAATTGAATATTTAAACAAGAATTAATTTAAATAATGAACAAGTTGACGGCAATTGTCATTGATATGCATTATTAATTTAATTTAAGCACAAAAAGAAACTACTCAATCCGCTTCACGTTTTTCTCCCTCATTCCACTCTCACCTGTATAAGCACTTAAATGTTTATAAAATATACTCCCAATAGCAATATTTATACTGCTCAATCGAACCTTGTCTTGACTATGACAAACATTAGATAATTTCATGCAACAAAAGCCCATCCACATTCCCACACTGAACCCAAAAACTAATAGACGAAGCGTGTTATTCAAACCCATTTCTTTCGTAAAAAAAATTGCAAAAAAAACCCACACGGGTTCAACAAACGGGGTGTGCTGTACCGCATACAATTCATTATAATTTAAAGATGCGCTGTAATAAAAAAAGAAGACAAGACAATGTCAATGGGCGTTGGCCCGGGCCCCGCGAATTGTTTCTATCATAACAAATAGTTTCAAAAAAAGACAAAAAATAGAGGCAGCATCTCCATCATACAAATATCATTAGAGGTAAGCTCGCCCGCCCCCAACCAACCAACCATATTGAACCTCAAATTATTTTTTGTTTTGCAGCTGCAGCTGCCGCTGCTGGTGGTGCGTGTCGCGAGGCGAATGGAACTGCTCCTGTTTCTGGCTCCTGCGATGCCTATATCGAGTGCAAGAATGGAGTGGCCGAGGAGAAGCTCTGCCCCGATGGCCTCTTCTACAATGAAAAATCCACTGGCTATCCCTGCGGCTATCCCATTGATGTGGAGTGCTCTCAGGGACAGTCCCGTCTGCAGTCTGCTCAACCCACGGAGGATTGTCCTCATCAGTTTGGTTACTATCGCATGGGTGATGCCAGCCACTGTGGACAGTTCATGAATTGTGCATCGGGCAAGGGATTTGTTTTCGATTGTCCTGCGGGTCTGGCCTGGAATCCGGCCACCTACAAATGCGACTGGCCCGATCAGGTTGAAGAATGCGATGCCGAGGCCTTCTTGGGCTTCAGCTGCCCCGCGCCAGCCTTCAAATCGGAGCTGCTCGGCGAACAGGAGGCCGACTATACCTTCCATCCGTCACAGGACAACTGTCAGTTGTATTTCATCTGCATTGAGGGACGTCCACGACGTATTGGCTGTGGCGAGGATCAGGCCTTCAATCAGGAGCTCAACCAGTGCGATGACATCGAAAATGTCCCGAATTGCAGCAGCGAAATCAGGGAGAAGGGCGCCCAAATCAAGGCGGCACGTGCCCATGCCAGAAGCCAAAAGAACTAAAAGGAGAACTAATTCCATGCAACAAATCACAAGGCCATGCAACATGTGGCATACGCGTTTGCTCGAGTTTTCTAGTCGATAGTTAAAGATCGTTTGACAGATTTGAATTGTAGCTTTTGCTTTTTTGCACAAAAATAAACTACGAAAATTTGTTAAGAAAAATGAAGAACTCCTCAATTATTTGTAAAAAATATTCAATATTCATATCCCTTGCTAAAATTTATAATTTTTTTTCCTTTCAGTGCTCTGCTCACCCGAATGCCCCTTCCCAAATGGTCGTTTTGCCTCTGGTGATCAATGTGATGCCTACACAGAGTGTCTGGATGATGTGCCCACTGCGAAACTCTGTCCCGATGGTCTGCTCTTCCATCAGCGAACCAAAGCCACTGGGGAGTGCACCTATGCGCCATATTCCACCTGCAAGGAGCGAGCTCGCCTGCAGCCTGCCAACGGCACAGACGAATGCCCCCGACAGTTTGGTTTTTATCCGAATGGCGATGAGACCAAGTGCGGTGTGTACCGCAACTGCGCCCATGGTGTGGCCAGCATTACCAAGTGCCCCGAGGGTTTGGCCTTCAACGAGGAGACCTACCAGTGCGACTGGCCCGATCTAGTGGGTAGCTGCAATGCCGAAGCCTTTTTGGGTTTCAACTGCCCTGCCGCTGAGCCCGTGGATGCCATTGCACCCGAGGTGGATGTCGGTCCCGAGGGAGAGCTGCGCTACTATCGTCATCCGCAGACGTGCAAGAAATATTTTGTCTGTGTGAATGGACATCCACGTTTGTACAACTGTGGCAAGTATTTGGCCTTCAACTCAGAGTCGAAGCTCTGCGATTTCTACAACAAGGTGCCCGAGTGCTATGCTCTGCTCAAGGAAAAGCAGCGGCTGAAGGCCGAGAAGCAAGCAAAGTTTTAAGGTGGAAAGAGACTGCGTGAGAGAGAGCCCTAAAAGTTTTGGACCAGCGAGAGGCTGAAAGTTTAACATTTCCTGTGCAATAATTATATTTTATTTTTTGTAAATATGTAACTGTGACGTTGTGTTTTTGCGTATTGAATAAATGAGTAAAATATTTGTATATGTAATAAATTGAATAATGATATCGGGGAAACAAATGGGAAAAAGATAAGGGGAGGTAAATTAAGAAAAATATCGGACAGCTAAAAATAAAACGAGAAGGGACGTGTGAGACGCTTCTTACGCGTCACAACTTTTATACCCGGCACTCAGTACTACTACTACAATCTGCAGCCTAAGCGTTGTTTTGTCAAATTTTAAATTTTTTTCTTCATCTGTCATCTACATCTACAACACTTCTTACACGAACACGCTCCTTTAGCTTGCCGGGCTTACCTAGACCCACGCACTGCAGACTCGCGGCAGAGGCAAAGGCAGCGCCCGCACACAAAAATACAAATATAAGCTGCGGGACGGGGTGGGTTAAAAGTCGGCAGAGGCAGAGGCCAAGTGAAACAAAAGCAGAGTGTAAATGAGAGAATGTTAAAAAAACAACAAAAGCTGCGGGACAGGGTTGGTTTAGCCACTGCAAATTAATTTCTTCATTCTTGCTATAATAATGATCCAATCGGATTTAGTGATCTGACAGATATGGCCATTCCCTACGGAATGGCGTTTTTAGTTTTCTTTTATCTTCAAAATTGTAGATTTTTGAGCTTTTCGCGCTTTTGCGGGGACGGAAGAGGGCGTGGCTAATTTTTGAAACACACTGCAACAGTGTGAGCATACAGAAAGAAGTCTGGATGCAAAATTTGGTGCTAGCTTCTATGGTCTTGTAAATTCTTGTGTTTCCTTAGCACTGGCTGCATCCCATTGCTGCTTTATTAGGCCTTCATCACCTTCTTAAATATTTAAATGAACAAATTAATAATGATCCAGATCTACATACAGCTGTGAAAAAAATAATAGCACCACAATTTTCAAATAGTTGCCCAACTCACATTTTTAACTTTAAGCTAACTTTTAACTTATTTAAGGAACTTTAGTAAAACTGGTCAAATTAGGCGAACAAAATAATAGCACCACTTTTGAAAAATGGATTTAAAATTTAAAAAATTACGATTTTCTTAGTTAACACTTTTGAACTATTAATTCTTAATCTATATTTATCATTTAGTATATAGTTGTGTCCTATTTTGGCAATAACAGCTGCGCAGCGTCTTGGCATGGAATCCACCAAGTCCAGGCATAGCTTTTGGGGAGCTTTGGACCAGGACTCTTAAATTTGTTCTCAAAGTGATCCTACAGTTGTTGGTTCGGAAGCAGCAACTGCCTTGTGGATGGCGGACCACAAATTTTCGATTGGTTTCATGTCAGGCGACTGTGCTGGCCACTCTAACACGTTCAGGGTTGGCCCGAACCGTTCCTTTGCTTTCATGCTTGGGTTATTTACCGGTTGAAAGACCCATTCTAGTGGCATTTCATATTCTGCAAACGGTAGCATTACAGTCTCCATAATATCCACGCACACGTGCTGATCCTTGATGGTTTTTATTCAATATATTGAACCTACTCTATAGTAAGAGAGCAGCCCCATACCATTAAATTAAACCTTTTATTTTTAATAGTTTTCTTTGGTGTACTGGCGTTCCTTGGACGTCTTAGGTATGATCAGATCCCTTTTCAGTAAATAAAACACTTTTTACTCATCTGAAAATAAAATTTTCCTCCATTATAGGGATGTCCAATTGGCATGCTCCCTTGCAAACATCATGTGCTTAGTAATATGTCTGGCGTTTAAAAGTGCGAGTTTTTTTGGGCAGCAGGATTTTAGGCTATGTTGTCTAAGATATATCCAAACTTCGTTTTAAGCTCTTTTTTTAAGCTCGATAGGAGGCTTGAAGGGAACCTTCTTGCTCTCACGAATCAAAACCCTTTTGACCCTAAAAGGGGTCATAGATCGTTTTCATCCACTTGTTTTACACTTTTCTTCATAGTTTAAGGCGTTTTTAATCCATTTATTGAAACTTCCTACCAGTTGACCAAATTCTCTGTAAGTTTTTACGTCAAATATAAATTGTTTGCATTTCAGAGCTTTCCACGTCTTATTGTAATTGTTATTATTAGCTTTTATGATGAAAACAATGACATATTAGTCAAAACTAATAATTTCGTGGTTTATAGAAAGTCAATTCCGCGAAATTACGGAGATTCACTTAAAATAGTGCTAATGGTGCTATTATTTTTTTCGCCATATTGGTGGTATTTTTTCTTAAAGTATAAAAAAATATAAAGACATAAATTTAAAGAAAGACAACACCTTTGTTGGTAATAGGGAATACTTAACTATATGAAAAAACTAAAAATTTAAAAAAAAAATCGCAACGGCAATTCCTTTTTTTTTGGCCAAGAACAAAATGTGTTGTAGTGGTGCTATTATTTTTTTCGCAACTGTATGTACATACATACATACATAGTACATATACGCACAAATCTTGTATGCTTTTTCCTGTACCCAATTAAATCTCCCAACAACACTACACCCACATAAAAACAAGACTATATCGACTTTTTCTTTAGTTTTTGTTTTAATTTGTAATTTATCAACCGTTTCGGACTTACGGCTTTGGTTTTGTTTTGTTTTTGTGTGTTTTAGAATTTATTATATTATAGTTATGGTTTTAAAGGTTTTTTTTTTTGCTTATTAGTTATTGGTAGATTAATTCAACTTATATAAGTAGATCAATTTTACATATGAGGGCCAACCATTTTGCACACATTTAAACATTATTACATCGTAAACTTATCATAATATCATTATCATCATGCTCCTTCCTTCTTACTGTTTCAGCATCCATTCTTCATCGAATTCCGTGTGTTTTTATACAACATTTATTCTTTCTTATTTTAAAACAATCTTTAGTAGAACCAATTGCCAAATGTTAATTTCTTCGTTTTGTTTTTTCTTTACTTTTGAAAATAATTTAAGCTCGAATTTTTGTGGTGTTGAATAAAAAACATACGCATACGAGTATTAATAATGTATTCTTTTTTTGTATCACTAAGTCAACCAATTGCTCACGTTTCAGAATTTCTTGGAGTTTTGTTTTTTCAGCTTCTTAAGAACTAAATGATCCATTCGATCCATTTACCCAGCAATGGGTACCACGTCCAGATTCCATCCTCTACAGATTTCCTTCTTCTTTTGGCTATAAAAATTAAATTACATGTTTTTGTTTGTTGTTTAGATGTTTGTTGTTGTTGAACTTTTTGCACTATTTTGTTGTTGCTGTTGTTGGGTGTGTTGTGTTATTTTCGATAATTTTAAATTACAACAAATGAATGTGTTAATTTTTGGTATATTTTTTTATTTTAGTATAGTATTTTTTTATGTTTTACAAAGATTCTTTCGTTTCGTATCGTATCATTTTTTGTTTTTTGTTTTTGCTTTGTGGTGCTTGGCTAAGGCGACTTTTGTTTGGTTGTTTTTCACTTTTGTTTCGTTTCTCGTTTCTCTCTTCTCATTTTTTCTGTTCTTTACACTTTTTGCAATATATTTTCTTATGCTTTTCTTTCTTTCCATCGCATTTTCACATTTCTCATTTACATACACAAAAAGAGGAACAATTTGCATTTTGCATTTGTAATGGAAATTTAAATGAAAATAATATTAACAAAATTAGAATAAAAAATCTAAAGCGATTTGCAATTGACGATAGAAAATGATAGAGAAAAAATACCATGTTTTAGTCATCTTTAAGTTTGGTTTTTTTAGTAAAAATTTGTGCTAGAAATTCGGCTATTAAAATTATTTAAGTTCGTACACATCGATCGATCGCTTGAGAAAAAGTTTTACATTTCATTTTCATTTTATCGTTTTTCGTTTTGTTTTTTTCCTTTCGTTCGTTACATTTTGTTTTGTTTTTCTTATTTTTTTGTTTTGTTTTGGTTCGTTTTAACATATTCAGTCTTTCAGCTTTCAACACATAAATAAATTAATTAAATTAATTTATTTGGATTAGATTTAAGAAAACATTTCTGCTGTTTGCTGTTCTGCCTGTTTGTTGCCTGTAAATAATTTCGAGTTCTATTGCATTTATGTGGTAATTTCTCTCTTCGCTTGTCCTTGATTCTGCCTTACGATCCATCCATCCATACATATGTCCGCCCTGTCCTCTCCTTCATAAGTCCAGTTAAAGTTTATAGCCAAAAACACGACAAAGTTCGTTTGTCTCTCTTGAGAAAATTTCGAAAAAATTTCACGTTTTTCTTTTTTGTCAAAGTTGGTTGTAAAAGCCAAAAGTTTTGCTTTTCTTTGCTTTCTTATATAATCTTAGTGCTACGATTTATGGTTTTTTTTTACATTTAATGAGAGTAATTATTATATATTTTAATATATTTCTCCTCAAATTCCTCCTTCCATCCATCCATTGCGCGCATTCTCCATAAACTGCTTTTCGTTTTTTTTTTTCCATAATTTTAAAAACTTTTCAAGTGGACGAAGCATCTCTTTCGTTCTCTTTTTGTTATTCAAAATTTTGTTTTTGATTGATTTTAAATTTAATCATTATATATATATAAGAAAAATATAAAATTTTGTGTCTAAATTCAGTTGTTTTTAGGAGTTTTTTCTCTTTCAAACTAAAAGAACTTTCCACACAGGTTTTTTCTTGCTTTTTTCAAATAGTTGCTCTGTTTTTTATAATTATTCTTTTATATTTTTTTTTTGGGTGGGGCTTACGTTATCATAGTTCTATATAGTCTTTCTTTCTTTCGTTCATTGCTTTTCTTTTTCTATACGCCAACATAAAAATTTGTTGTCAAAATTGTTTCGTTTTTTGTTTGTTTTCGATATTTTCATTCGATTTTTTTTTTCTTACTGTATAAACCGGTCTCTTGTTAAGGCATCTGCTTTTTGTCACTGAAGTTTGTTCGTTTTTTGTATTGTTTTCTTGTGTTAGTTTTTTGTTTGCATTTTGGAATTTATTAATTTTGTTGCTTTTTACAATATTTCTTGTCTTGTCTGCATTTTGGAATTTTGTGGTTTCATTTAATCTATTTCAACTCAGGTGATTTTTATTCCAGAAAAAATCTAAAGCTTCTGCCGAAAGATATCTTTTTGCCCAAAAGTTGTTTAATTTGGATTTTGGTTTGACTCCTAAAAACAACGAAATATGTTTGGGTTATCATTTAAGATTAATTTTGCTGTGCCTTAAGTGTAAAATTTTTAATTTTGAAATTTTATGTATATATATTTTTTTTGTAATATATTACTAGACAAAGTTTTTAATTTGGAATTTAGGTTTTTTGTTTTTCTTAAAATTTTCTTAATTTAGTTTTACGTTTGCATAATATTGTTTGTTTTAATATTAAAAATTGAAACTTAAAATTTTAATTTTGTGGCCTAAATTTGTATGCAGTTTACAATGCGCATTTTCTTTTCTTTTTATATTTTAAATATTTCTTTTTTTTTTTTGAATATATTTTATGGTTATTCTTAAAACTCCTAAATAAAAATCAATTAAATTAAACATTACAACTATTAGCTAAAGAAAAACACAACTTTTGTAGCTTTTGATAAAATATAAGAAAACTTTAATGGAATTTGATTATAAAAAACGTAACATTATCCAATGAAAATATCAACTGAGGTTCTTTAATGGAAAAACTATTCATATAAACGGCTTCTAATTAAACGGAGAATTTAATGGAAGATCTTAAGTAATCAATAAAAACTTTTGAGTGTTAAAAAATGGTTTAAACACTATAATTTGGTGCCACTTCGAAGTGGTTTTGTGTGCTCATCATAGTCTCTCCGATTAGTTAAATTTTCGCTTTTTTCCACTGCCCTTTTTCTTGCCTTTGCCACGAGATTTGGCCAACTTGCGCTTTTTGCTGCCATCGCCACGCATCGCCGATTCCCGACTGATTTCACCCAAAATCTCATCGCCGAGTGTGCCTGTTTTGGATTGTAAGGATAAACTTTTTTCCATTTAAAGCGTATTACTAGTGTCTTACCCAACGTGGTCAACTTCCTTTGGCGATGTTTCTCCGCTTTGGTCACTGGCAGACGCATCAAATAGGTCTCCTCGTACTCTTGCTTCTCCTTTTGGGCATTGGAGAGTATCTGCTGGGCCCTTGAGCCTGATGAAATCTCTGTGGGTGCATCCAAATATTCCTCTTTGAGGTCTTGCAGCATGGAGGAACTAGAAAGAAAAGCGAAAATTTGAATGGAAATTCGGAAAAATAGAATTTTAACTACTCACGTAATGGCCCGCTTCTTGGCCCTGTCCAGTGCCTTTTTTTCCTTGTCTGCATCCTTTTCATCGCCATCGTAGTACACGGGTTTGATGCGTGGCGGCACATAGACGCCCGATTTGCCTACTGTTGCCGCCTTTCGTGTTTTTTTCGCAGATCCTGCCTCACCTTTTTCATCATCCTCCTCTTCATCACTGTCGCTGCCTGCCGCCGCATCATCGTCCTCATCCTCGTCATCATCATTGTCTGCTCCAGCGGCACTGCTCATCATCTCATCCGGATTCGGTTTGTAGAGTATAGGATCGGTACTGCTCGACACACCCGTGGCTGTCTTTACCAATTTATCGATCTGGTAGCGCAACTTGTGATCAATGGGTCGGATCTTTTCCAGCACAGTGCGTATCTCAATAAGACGCTCGATCGAGGGATCACCCTCGATGGTCTCGCCAGAGCATTTGCGCAGCACCACATATGTCAGATTGATCAAGTAGTCCAGCAGCATGTGATATTTCACCTCCAGGAAACTCAATCCATACTCTGTGGTCAACTCGCCCCGTTTCACTCGCTGCAACATCCCCTCCACCAGATCTGTCACCTGTTTCACATTGCTGTTCATTTCGCCCAGCAGCTGGATGGCCTGCGGTATGTCCTGTTGGCCCTGCACCTCACAATCGTAATCCAATGCCTGCATAGGTTAATAAAAATAATTGTATTTATTAATAAAAAGACAGAGAGAAAGATCTGACAGAATCTTCATGATGTTTATTGCTAGTGTTTAAACTTAAAAGGTTGTTTTTGATGTCAATTCTTTTGGGTAATTGATGGAAAATGAATGAAAAAATTGGCAAGCTGATTGAGGAAGACTTTTGCACCTCAATCTTAGTCGCTACTTTTACAAGAATTATTATTTAATTCTTTTTGAGAACTATTATTCAATTTTTTAATATTTAATTCTTTTTAAGTATTATTTTATAATTATTTCTAAGATTTATTATAGAATTCTTTCTCAGAATGAGAGGACTTCTGTTTTTTAATTTGGATTCATTAATGTGCTTATGCTTGATTTAATTACAAAATTATTAAATATCTCTCGAGTACGAATATTCATAAGAATGTTCTTTATAGTGGGAAATTTCTCTCTCTCACCCTATAAAGCGTCTAATTCAGAGACTTTCTATTTTTCATATATTCTTTATTCATGGGATCTGCTCCAAGCACACAGTATAGTATTTCATTTAATACCACACACACATTCCAATGCCACAACATTTACCCCTCCATACTTGTTATGTATCGTTTGTTCAACTCATTTGCATATTTTATTGGTTGGCATTTAATTATTCGCAATTTCACAACATTTCGGCCACAGACACAGCCTGAACTTCACTCCCCACTCACTGAAGTGTCCAACCCCCCATTGCCCCAAAGGGGCTGTTGCTGCTCTTTGACCGATGCGGCGGCCTATGGTGCATTTATTTTCAATTAATATTAATAAAGCAGTTCGCATATGCAACTAGGAAAGGCATATGGACATGGAGTGGGCTGCGCGTTGAAATACGGGGGTTTGCAGGGTATATTTTAGAAATTAATTGCATTATTGCTTGGATCGGTATTTTATTTCTCTCTCGGTTGTTATTTTTTTTTAATTTAGTTTGTTTTTGTCATTTGTGGCCTGCGAATCTGCGTCGTCTGCAATTTACAAAGCAATTTACCAAATAATTATTTAGATACCGAAAATTGCTCATCGAGTGGCAGGATGCAGGCTGCAGGATGCGCAGGGTTATGAACAACCCGCAGATTTTATGGCACTTTCTGTCGCTCTGCAAAAATTTGCATATTATTATTGGCAAATTATTTTAATTGCATTTTGTGGCCAGGCTTCATACTAAAACAAAGTGAAATTCCACTCGAAATGTGGCTGAAAATGTGAGGTGGTGCGGGACAAAAACCCATCACCCATATGTAAAACAATACAATTTCATATTGCATTGCGGGGAATATTTTTGTGGGTACAGTTGTGTCAAAAGGTTGTGCGAAAAACAATCTGTCTATGCTATTCATTTCGAGGTGGCTACATTAGTATTGTTTACATTTGTGTACAGCTGTTCCAAAGGATTTTAATGGGCAGACGAAAAGGTTCCCTTAAAGATTATGTTTGAAAGTTTCTTGGTGTTTAGGGACAGACAGGAAAACAGAATTCATGAAAAGTAAGCATAAGTAAATATATTTTGGATAGTTTATAAGCACTTTGAAATGTATTTGGGATAATGCAAAGAAAAGCGCCATAACTTCCTAAGAAATACCAGTACTTTCAATCATGTTAGGATTGCTTAACTTCTTGTATGTGAATTTAAGAAATTTTCATACAGTCTCTCACTACTCACTAAATACTAATACGAAATTTCCCCCCAACAAAACCAAAAATTGCATAAATTGCAAAACAACGATTCTCTATTTGCGAAATTTGCTGAAAACAAGAAAACATTTTTCAAAGCGTTAAAAGCAGAGGCTGCAGCAATATGAAGGCAATTACTGCCGCCATCGTCATCATCGGTCGAAAATAGTCACATCCTCCTCTCTGCGCCTCTTCTCTGGCAGTGCCAAACAAAGCGTTAAATGAAACGCGGCGCATATTTTAGTTCAAAAAAGCAACAGCCAATTGCAGAAATGCAGCACATCACTGAGACCCCCACAAATAACCCCAAAATGAGATGGGCATAACGAGGCTGCCATTATAAACTGACGCCCCGTAACACAGTGCTATAACAACTCTAAACACTGCCCAGAGCTATTTAGTATATGGGCCTGGGCCCAAAAGCAATTACAACAAAATGGCAAACTATGGCACACGCACACACTCTTCTACGATTCCATACTATCACCCCTATAATCCACCCTTTTCGCACTTTACAGCATCTGCACCTCCTATCTGGCATTATCTCTACCGCACTTTTCGGTCCCTGCATGGTGTGTGCGTGGGTGTGTGTGTGTGCAGAAATGATTTAAAATTCGAAGAGCATTTTGTGTACTTTTCGATATGCAGCCAAAACAACAATGAAACCCAGGAGGAGCCTAAGAATTTAGAGAGACGAAGATGTGGATGACCCCTACAAGGGAATTTTAGATATAAACCTGAAGTCGTATTTAACCAAAGGAAGTACAAGTGTTGCTGCCAAACAATTTCTCGAACCCCATATTTTTTCATTTATTTGCATGATATTGTAATCAGATATTAATGGAAGCTAGTTTGTAGAAATGCTAGCCACGGGTGAAAGAAACTTTGGACCATCTTAGCCAAAAAGTGGGTTAATTGAAGAAAGATTATATTTATTGAACATTAATTATAAATAAATTTATATATAGCAACAATTTTTATAACCGACTAGCTATAGGGCATACGAAATATTTTAAATAATTTGTATAAAATATTTTGCATCCCACAAACATCTCTTCTAACACATAACACCCTCCCTTTACAGGGTATGTATTAACAACCGATTTTCTCTCCCTCTTGCAACATAACCGACTCTTGTTGTTGATTTTGCTGTTATCGCTGCTGCAATGTTCTCGCTGTTTTGCATTAACCGTTATTTAGCAATGGGCTTTATGTGCAACATGCAACACCAACAACAAAAACAACGAAATGAAACGGAGAGGAACGTAAGCCTGTAAGTAGGCAATGCGAAAATGCAATTGAATACATTCATGGGTGTGTGCAAATGAATCGATGGGTGAATCCAGGGGGAGTGCTACGAATGGAGGGGGGAAGGATGTCCTACGAATGGCGGAAATGGTGGCTGTGGCATGTGGGTGGCCCCTGGTCGAGAGGAGCATGTAAATACATACATATGTACGTATGTACTCGGACCATATGCTGAAAGGCTGGCTGGCATATACGCACACTCTTTGCTCTCGTAGCTGCCATCTCTTTCGCACGAACAAATGTTTTTTGTTGCACTTTTTGGTAGGGCCCACCATGTGCATCATGAATAAAATATAAAATGCAATTTCTGTTGCAGTGGCAGCAGCCGCCAAAAAAACAAAACAAAAAATACCCGCATCGAAATTGCTGAATTTAATGACAAAATTGTTGATGCTGTCTGATGCAACGTACTGCCCCCACTGCACAAACATCCTTTCCACCCATATATCGCACTCCTCTTTAGAGTTCTTTCCCCCTCCATTCTGCTGCTGTGGTTTTAAGCTGTGTCTCGTCTGCAATTATCATTGGGCAGGCAGCATTTTTGGTTTCCAATTTATATTTATATTATTTTATGCATTAATGTCATAAATAAATGGGTGCATAAGAGTGCTGCGCAGGGGCACTGTTCATATGTGTTGGTAGGGAGTAATGTGTGTATTTGCGATTGTTTTTTTGCAGTGCACTGCAATAAACCACCTTCAGTGGGTTGGTTTATGTGTGCGCCTGTGATAATTGCGCAAATCCATTGCATATTTATGGGCCTTGATTTTAAATTGGCATTTTCACATTTCACATTTCGTATTTAATATTTGACAGTCGATGGTAGTGCTATTTATATGGAGGTTTTTAAAGGGACTGTAGCTAGACGAGTGCCTATAACTATTAGAGGTGGCATTAAGAGCAGAGGAGAATGTCGTATAGGCAGTAAAGGAAGAAATGTAAGTGGAATGGCGCAAGAATTATAATATGTAAAGTATGAGGAGAGGTGTATAAGGGGAAAGTGTTTATATAGATATGTATAGTTAACAATTTCCATATGTCTGACTTTCGATTTGATGCTGATCAATTGTACTCTTTATGGGTTCGGACTCGTTTATTTCTCTGCGTTACATATGTACATCAACTTTCCACCCAAATACAATATCTTTATTTACTCTTCGAGTACCGTGTATAAAAATAAAACTCGTACAATCATTAGAAAAGTTGATTTTTGACACAAGTTTGGTCACACTTAAAACACGAGCTCTAGCTAAGCATTTATCATTACCAAATTTATTTAAGTCACTCTTCAGACAGTATTTCATCAATGAATGCAAAGAGCATGACGAATGGATTGTTTTGCATCAGCTAATTTTAAATAACATTCCAGAACTATTCATTTAATATTTATTTAAAATTCGAAGTCTACAAGTATCCAAATGTCTTTCTTCTTGTAGATGCCTAAACTTACAGCTTCGCCCACTCTCTAGCTGTACATTAGCTGTCTTTAAACGAATTACCGACTGCCAATAAAGAACCACAACATTTCCTGAGCACACGCACACACACACACACTGACCCCTAAATACACCTGAGAGCCAAGTCATTTTGACAGAAGATACCAAACCACTGGGAAACACTTTGAACCATTTTAATGCGTCACGCAGCCCCTCACATACAGGCAAAAAGAGAGGTAGAGACAGAGGGAGTGAGAGAGACTACGCAGACCGTAGGAATCACTTGTTTCAATTATAAAACTACAAATTGAGGGCTGATGCCACCCACAAAGAGGGCTACACCCACTCGGCATTCTGCAGCCACTCCGCCGCCGACCCCCCCACCCACTCACACCCCCGATGTCTGTGGATGCGTACGCGGACGACGCCCATTAGAAATCGATTGACATAACTCAAAAATTGTGCAAATTAACGTTAAACCAGCGAACCAGCGACAATATGGGGTGGATATGTAGGGGCTGGACAGCCACTACAGTGCCAACTGTA